AAATTGAGGCCAGGAAATGGCCTCTTGGCCATTAAAACATGTTAAATGTGGGGGGGGGGGGGGGGGGCGGGGGGGTTGTCTATATACCATTTAAATTAAATTATCAATCACACAATTTAACACATTATCACAAAATTATGCGCAAAATAGTCATGTATGAAATGGAGTGGACCCATGACGCAACCTCCGTACATGACAACCCCGTAAATGGGTCTTACCCGAGACTCTCCGGTCCGAAAAACGAAAAAAAAAAAAAAAAAAAAAAAAAAAAAAAAAAAAAAAAATTCGAAATGGCCATTGATACATTTCCAAGAGTCCCAGATTCAAAGAAATGTCCTAAACAACTCTCTGACCCACCCCGGCACACCCCACGACGTCCCGCACGCAAAATGAGAAAAGACAAAAATACTCTAAAAAATTAAAAAATTCCAGAAATTGAAAAATGACAAAATTCAGGAGCATTACATACCCACTCTTAACCCACCATTGCAATGAGTACCATTTTTTACTCATTATTGACCCATTCACTTAAATTTGGATATCCAAATAATTGAATTTTAATGGACTGACTTGAGCGATTTAATGAGTTTAGGTTAAATTACCACCCTAATCAAAATCAATTTAGTTGATACTAGATGATTTTCAATTGCAGCGTCTACAATAGCAATAATATAAATTTGTAAAAATGGTTCCCAAAACTCAATTCTTGAGTGATGATGATACAAATTCCGGCGGTAACTAGTTGTCTCACTTAGCCCAAATTTCACCACATCTGGTTAGCTCTCCTTCCAAATCTCAATTATTGAGTGATGATGATTGGCTTTCTTTGTTGAAATTAAACTAAAATGTTACTATATGAGTCTAATTTTGCTTTTAGGTGTTTCACATAGCAATAGCAATAGTGTCCACCACAACAATTGTAATGGGCTCTTCTCTTACTTGAGACATTGGACTTCCGGTTCAAAATTCATATATATTACAATGTCAAAAAGTATGGGCATGGAATTTAAGGCTCCGTTTGGTTAGATGGAAATAAGCAAGAAAAGAAAATAAATGGAAAATGAAAGAAAAGTGAAGTGAATGGAAAAAAAATTATTTTCTAGCATGCATTTGAAAATTGTAGAAAAATATTAATTGTTATTTTGGATAGCATGAAAGTGAAAAGAAATCGATTAAGGATACCAATTTTACCCTTATAATTTTAAATACTAATAAATAAATGAATTTGTATTTGTTGATGTTTATTTTTTAAAGCTGCAACTTGGGCGGGCTAACCTAGCCCAACCCAACCCCAACTCAAAAATTTTGAAATTTGGGCTTAAAATTCATAAATCGGGCTCATATTTGGATTGGGTTTTGTTAAAACCTAGACATGTTCGGGTTGAGCTCGGGCTCAACTTGAACCCAATCCAAAACCCAAAATAAAAAAATAATTTTTTTTTTTTTTCCCTTTCACTCTCTTCTTTCTTCTTTCTCTTTCTCTGTCGTCCCCTCTGTTGATGCTGCCATTGCCACTGCCACTGCCGTTGCCGCCATCCCTCCGCCGACATCACTTCCAAAAATTAAAACAAAACCCATACAAGCTGAAATGATTTGCCCTAAAAATATTTTGATTTTTAATAATAATATAATCAAATATATAGAATATATATACATTTTTGAAAGAAAAAAAAAAAAAAAAGGTCAACACGACCCGACCGAAAATATTCGGTCGGAGTTATGATCATAACCCATGTTGGGTACAATTCGGGCTGGTCAACCCAACCCGATTCGGGTTAAGGTTGGGTTGGGATTGGGCTAGGTTGGCCAGCCCAACTTGCAGCCCTACTATTTTTAGCAAAGAAATAATAAAATAATGGATTATTAAATTTAATCATATAATTATTTATATTTAAAATAAGACGTCATAATATTTTATGAGGCTGAAGTAGAACTAATTATTAGTGTATGAGAAACGAAACTTAAAAAAAACACAGAGATGTATTGCCATCAGTACTAAATTTTTTTAGAGACATTTGATTGTATTTTGTTGTTGCCAATTATATATGAAACTGTGGAAAAACAAAGAAAGGTGAATAAAAAAAAAATGGAAAACAAAAAACAAAAAAACAAAATAAAGAAAATGTTGTTTTGCAGAGAACTTGCCTCTTAGAAATCGAGAACGAAAATAAAGGAAGAAATTGTTTTTCACGATTAAGTTAAATAAAAAGGCAAACATTTCACGTGAAAAAATAGGAATGTCAAATAAAAAGGCAAACATCTCACGTGAAAAACTTATTTCGGTGTTTTGTGGATGAAAAGTTTTGAGAGAAAATAGATAAGTATGGAAACAAAATTTTTCATTAGTTTTTTCTTTCTATCTATTCAAATTCTAAAAAATTTTAAAAATTTTCTCTTTCTTTTCTTTTCTAACTATTTTCACCTAAAAATTTTCTCTTTCTTTTCTTTTCTAACTATTTTCACCTAATCAAACAAAGCCTAAGGGTTAAAAAATAGGGTGAAAGTTTATGTACGAATGTTGAGGAAATATGCTTCTATTCAACATGTGATGGAAATGAATTTTCTGAGAAGCCAAACGGAACCCTTGTACGGTGTAGAACCGAACCTCCGCAAGCAAAGGGTGTGATGTGTATGTATGAAGCGGAAGTAGACAAAATGCAATCAAAGCGTATCATGGGGATTCTGGTGTTGGAAAGCCGTGGGGTGGGTCATTTGATTGATGAGAAGAAAGGCCCATTGATTGATGAGAAGAAAGGCCCATGTATCTTATGTAATGTCACTATCGAAGTCCATGCACGATGAATACCGTTTGTTATCATGTATAGCCGTAATTAAAATGAGCCCAACCAAAACTTTCTCTTTTTGGAAACGATAAATAGTACTTCAACCCACAAAATACCTGTTTTTTTTTTTTTTTGGCATGCTAATCCCTATTTCCAAAATATATGGCCTATTTGAAAAATCCAACTTTTTATACTAGTGAAGTTTTAATAGTCTTTATTATATTAATAAAAATGAAATTTTAAATATGCTAATGTTAAAAGGATAACTAAAAAGATAGCTTTGAGAATGTTATAAAAAATCATCCAATTTTTTAATGTGACATATTTTTTTGGAACATTTCAAAATAAATTGATGGACAAATATTTTATAACGGAGGGAGTATGAATTATGAGAAATACTAATTGCAGTCGCGCAAACGACGGTCTATTCATAGTCGCAGTTATGATCGGTTAGTTTTAAATACATTAATTACTTGGGTTTATATTTTTATGGGACTCTGCAAACATTACTTTTTTAGACAAAAATACCCTTTTAATAACTCATATTAATCGATCTATATGGGGATGTGTGCGCGTGTGTGTGTGTGTATATATATAATAACTAATGTTATGTGAATGGATGCTGAGGGAAAAAAAAAGTTAGATAAGATAATCTATTCACAAAAGATGGATTCTGAGGGAAAAAAAAAAAAAGAAGAGATAGAAAAAAATCAGGAAAAAAAGAGAGAGGAGAGAGCGAGAAAAGAATCCATATACAAGATAGATTACGAGATTTTTTTTTTAAAAAATACAAAATTAGTTTTATATACGTATATATTTCTTTTTATAAGTATCTGAATAAATTATTTCATTTTCTTTTATTCTTTTTGGATTTTTTTTCTAGCTCTTTTTTTTTTTTCCCTCCTTCCTTTTATTTTTTGTCAGAATCCATCAATCTCTTGTGAATGAATTATCCTATCTATATTTTTTTCATTTTTCAAAATCCATTCACATAACACTAGTTACATATATATACATACATCCTCAATTAAAAGAGGAGAGAAGAAGAAAGATTAAAACAATTTAAAAGGGTATTTTTGTCTAAAAAAATAATGTTTGTAGAGTCCCAGCAAAATAGAAACTCAAGTACTTAAAGCATTTAAAACTAACCAATCTTAACTACGCGTGACTGTAAATGGACAGTCACTTGCACGACTGTAATTAGCATTCCTCACGAATTATAGTGTTAGTACTTGTTTTTTGTTTGTTTTTTCAGGGAGCACAAACCCTTCTCTCTGGGACAGAGTGCATAGAGCTTGAAATCAAGTCAGAGAGGCATATTCAACATTAAAAAATCAACTTATATGTGTGTTGCAAAAGTATAGTAATTAAGATTCAAAATAGTATTTTCTTGTTTGTTAAAAAAAAAAAATGCAATTAGGAAAATTTTCAAAATATAAAACATGAAGATTAACTGTGGAATAAATTTAAAGAAGAAGAAGAGAAAAAGATACAGTGAGAGAGAGAGAAAAAAATGTTATTGTACATACATCATAAATATATAACTGCAAAAAGAAGAAATTTTAAGACGAGCCAAAAAAAAAAAAAAAAAAAAAAAAAGGAGGAAAAGAAAATGAGATAACTTTGGAGGGGAAAAAGAGTTTATTTGAAGAAAAAGAATGTATAATATTTTGAAAGAAATTAAAGAAATTTAATGAAAAAGAAGAGTAAAAGAGAAAATAAAAAAGAATAAGAAAGATTTTTAGAATGAGAAAGTTTTGGGAGCTGCAATTTCAAATATTAAATCCTTAAAAGTTGAAAAATGAAACACATGATTACAAAAAAAAAAAAAAGAAAAAAAAGAAGAAGAAGAAGATACAAAATTAAAAAAGAACTAAGGAGTCCCCACCCTATCATTGTCAAGGAAAAAGAATACTCAAATAATAGTTAATACGTGACTTTTTTGGGTGGATGTAAAACCCTGAACCAGTTGTCATACTGGTAGACTATAAGTATTATGATCTCACATTGTCTAGAAAATATAAAGTGTTATATATATATTCAATACCCTTTTATGCCCCAACAAATTTTAAAATTGTTATGGCATGAACAAATCAGAACTCTACATTTAAGTGTGCTTATGTATGAGTAGTATTGAGATGGGCAAACCTTAGAGACGAAACCAGCCGAAAGTATGGTTTACGAGGACGTTGGGCTCGATGGGGGAGATTGTGATGACCTCTGTGGACTTGTGTGATGTGGACAGACACGAGATACTAAGCGCTGACAGGCTAGGTTCATCAGGAAGCTGTGATTATGGAAGGCTGTTACAAACCAAATAAGCAAGTTGAGCTCATTTGATATACATCAAATTGGCTTGTGATTTTTTTTTTTTGAATGGTAATTGGCTTGTGATTTTCCATACCCTTTTAGTTTGTTTTTAGTACACACTCGCTCTCTTTCCAAAAAAAGAAAGATATTTATATTTACCCAGAAAGATTCAACACTAGGCCACAAAAGAAGAGAACTCCGTCATATTTACTTATTTAGAGTAAAACGAACACGCACACGTAACATTCTCTCTTAGTGCTACGATGAAACATATGCATTGAAAGAAAAGCTCCAAGTTTTTGGAAAAAAAAAAAAAAAAAAAAACTACAAAAATTAAACCATTAAATGAGTTTCGATCCCTTGGTCATGACCTAAAAGATTCCAGAGGTCCTCATCAATAGAAAAGTCATTCCAAAAATTATTGCTTTCTTGAACAGAAGTAGTCATGTTGTCATCACCTGCTGCCATTGTTGCTGTTGCTAGTGGCTCTTCAGTAGAACCCCAGAGGCCTGTAATATTGGGCCCCTTATGATCCCATAATTCACCCATGGACATTGTGTTTCCATTATTATTATTGTCGATTTCAATGTTATCCCACCATGACATTTCATGATGACCAAGCCCTACATCAGGTGATGAAGTACTGGGAGATGGCTTGTTTAGAGTTTCTCCTGATTGAATTAAGGAGATGTTTCCCATAAACAGAGTTGGTTTTTTGGTGAAGGTGCGAGGTCGAGGCCGTAGTATGTTGGCTTTCGTGATCATCTTATGGGGTTTGGACATAGCCTCTAATTTCTTACCTGCACCAACTAGCTTCTTCTGCAGGTGAGTGTTCCAATAGTTCTTCACATCGTTTGCAGTTCTATTGGGAAGTCTACCAGCAATTAGTGACCATCTGCGTAGAACAAGGTAAATATGAAATACAGTATAAAATTACCCTTTTTTATTTTATCCCGAGAATTCAAGTAAGCAAACAAAAACTTATTGTATGATAATCTCGCTGTAACGAAGAGGGTCGGATCTATGCATATTGTTTTAATTTTTCATGTGCATAAATAAAATATATAAATATATATTTTTGATTTTGAACTTGTATCATTGTGAAATTTTTTGTCGTTGCCCTAAATCTCAGTCACTTAAGAAATAGGATTTTAACGGTTAGTTTGGTTTTGAAAGATGCAAGTTGACTAGGTACGGTTATTAGCACAGAAGTTTCATTAATAACTTGCAATTAAGATTAATGATTTGCTTTTACAGTAATTTCTCAAGAAGTGACTTACAACTTGAGGAGACAAAGAATAGAAAAGCTGAAGAATGAAAGGACAACGAAGAATGAAAGGACAACAAATGATTTTTTGATGAAGTACACGTGATAAGCTAAAGAATGAAAGGACAGCGAAGAATGAAACTCGTCAACTAATTATCTATGAGTTATCATAAAAGATCATAAAAGATTTTTCCCTAAAATAAATAAATATCATAAAAGATACCTAAAATATCATAAAAGATTTTTCCCTAAAATAAATATTTTTTAACTAAATTTTTTAAAAATAGTTATTTCAAACTCGTCAACTAATTATCTATGAGTTATCTGAAAACAAAAAACAAAACTAAATAAACTACTCATTTTTTTCAAAAAAAAATTAATCATCATTGACTATATAGTTCAAACCAAACATGGACATTGTTTTCTAAATTTTTTATTAACAGTGAAAAAAATAAATCATATCCTTGCCGGTAGCTTATAATTTAATTTAGTCATATATTACTTACACACACAAACATGCATAATAATTGCACTTAATTACCTATTCCCTAACAGCTTATGAAGCCTAACAATGAGATCAACTTCATCTGATGTAAACTCTCCTCTCTTTATGTTTGGCCTCAAATAGTTCAGCCATCTCAATCTACAGCTTTTCCTGCACCTATTCAAACCTGCAAACACAACACACACAAAGTGTAAGTATATATAAAGCATCAGACCGCTCACAATATATGCAGAGGATTTACCTGTCATATGAGGAACTTGGTGCCATTTTCCTTCTCCATTCTTCTCTACGAACTTTCTTAGAAGATGATCTTCTTCTTCAGTCCAAGCACCTTTCCTCACTCCTAATGGAGTACTACTCTCCTCCATATTATATGGTTCTGATCGAGTTCCGACTTCAATGGCTGGCTTGCACTGCAAATTAAACCACACATACATATATATTTATAAACGAAAACTTGGCGGATCTCTAGCTTGGAAGCAGAGACTAAGACGTAGCTTGATCGACGTGCTTATTTGCCAACCACAAAATTAAACACACCTTTACGTGAATAGTAGAGAGGCATTTTACCAGTCCAAGCTCTCATTTCTCAATCAACTACCATTCCAACCCCTTCAAAACCGTTACGAGTCTCTGTATACACAAAGTCCACAATTTCGTTTCGAGTCGTAACCATCATTATTTCAACCACGACACTAGAAAAAGGAGTGCTCAAACATATATGCACCGTATATAATTATTTTTAAAACTAGAAAAAAAATATATAAATAAATAATTCAACTGCTGTATTTTTTGGAACTTTTAAAACACCACTTTTTGAATTACGTCAAATAAACAAAACAAGAAAACACGAGTTGGATCGGAATACAACAATTTTAGAAAAGATATAAACAAATAGTACTTAATTGAATTTATGGTTTTAGATATTTAACGTATCTTAACAGACAAAACTTATGAATGACCTGTGTTGCTAGATCAATTAGCTCCATATATATATATACTTCAAAAATGACTTTCACGTACAAGAACTACAAATTTTATTTGCAGATTCTTAGGTTCATAAAAATGTTTCCATCACCTACTTTCTCTCCCTTTTTGTACGGTAGCTTGCATGTATACAATCATGAATCAGCTGAGGGTCTTGGGGGAATATATCTTCAGAAACTATGCTCATTCAACGTATATTCTCTTAATTTCAATAAATTAAATAGTACTTAATCTTTAAAAAATTACTTTTAAGGAAATAATTATTATATCACACTTAGATAAAAGTAATAAAGAAGAATTTAATTAAAATCATTATTTCATTTTCATGCATGCACACCATGTAGTTCAGTGTTTCAGTAGTCTCGTTTGTGTAAAAAAAATAGAATAAAATAAAATAAAATAAAAGTAGTCTCGTTCACTATAAATAAATAAACAAATCATTTTTATAGCAAAATCAACAGATCATGAGTTCGTCATATTGTTCTGTAATAAATCTCACAATATATAGTATTTGTTATATATGTATTTCTTTAATCATTTATATTGTATAGTTGAAAGTTCAAACTTGAAGGCATCAAAATTTCATATTGGCCATTAGTTATGGATCTTCGAAAATGAATTTATGGCTAGATTTTGTAATATTTTCTTTTTCCACATTGGCACGTTCTGTTGAGATGACAGTACAATGCGTGGAAATAAATAAAGCGACCACAATGAATGATATATATATCCATAGTTGTATTGAAAAAATTAGAGTATACTATGGATATATTCATAATTTATGAATCCGTCACTTATTGGATTGATTCGAATTTACAAATCAAATGAACACACCTAACTCAAAATCTCTATGCAATGGATTAATGGCTTGAAAAATTAATTATATGCAGACAGTGATATTTACAATAAGATTACAACATTCACAAGTGAATATAATACAAAGTTATATACTACAAAGAAATTGGGATTTTTAGATAAGAAGATATTATGTGGCAATTTGTACGTAATTAGTGAGACCATCTAATAATTTCTCCAATAGCTCTGTCAACTCTAAGCCTCTAACTCTAAGTAACAACAATAATGAGTTATAATAAGACCTAATTAATATAGAATGAAGTAATTACAAATTATTTTTAAAAATTAAACATAATATATAATAAAACCAAATTTTAAAAATTAAAATAAATTTGTGAGCTTCTTCATTTATTTTTGGGTTAAAATCACAAAACTCCTCTTCTACTTTTATGTGTATAAAATATACAATAGAATTAAAAAAACATTTTGAACTAAAAAGAGTTATCAAGTTGTCTCCATATTGGTGACCGACCAGTTAATTTACTTGTGAAATGAAAAATTAATCTTATTATTTAATGTTAAATTAAAATGATGATAACATTTTTTAAAAATTGTTTTTATAATTTTAAAATAGCATTGTCAATTTTTTTAATTTAACATTAAATAATATTTTTTAAATTTAAAACAATTTTTTAATTTAACATTTTTCTTTTATGATTTTATTATTAAAAAAAAAAAAAAAAATCCTGATGACGGCAATGACAAAAAATGACACAACTTGCACGAGGTGAAGAATGGAAAAACAACAATCAAGACCCAATCGGCACTCAAATATAGCTGTCGATAATTGGTACCATTTATTGGAGAGTTGATCCAGAATAGTAAGTGGCATTTATAACCTTGCATGCTTTCAGTGTGACTGGACAATATTAGTATTATTATCTCAGTCTCTCTCTCTGTTGGGTCACCATTTCTTACCATAATCGACTAATTGAGTGACGTCTCTCTATCTCTCTCTCTGTTGGGTCACCATTTCTTACCATAATTGACTAATTGTGTGACGACTGTGTCTTGATTGTTGTTTTTCCAAAAATACCCCTTCATAAATAAAAGTCATTATTTATTATTATATGATTGGGAAATAACATGATTGGCTGCTTCAACTTCCATCTGCTCTGATAATCTCTCCTCATTGGGAAATGTCTTTCTCAGTATTCCAAACCGTCTGCAATGATGATATATCACCTCCCACTCCGTCTCATATGGTCTCTTGGCCCCTTTGTATGGGCGTATGCAGGTTGTCCACAGGACGGGACACCTCGGGGCGTTAAATTAAGACATCATTAGTCAAAACGACTGGAACAGTTCTATACAATAAGAAATAAGTAAATTTGAATTGACTTTAAATAGGTTCAAGTCATAAACAGGTTGACACAATTAACCTGTTAACTTAATTATGTCGAGTTAGAATTGAAAAATTAAACCCATGTAACCTGTTTATATGCGTTTAACTCAATATATTATAATTATGAATATGATTCATGTAATATGCTATCTGTTTAAACCAAATTATTATGGACAGTTAAGTAATTTCAACGTAAATCATGATTACGACCTTATGATTTTTCTTCTTATTTTGAATATTTAGGTTAATTGCGACAAATTGTTTCTAGTATTTATTATTTGATTGAATATTAAATATTTCTTTTTGATAAACAGGTCATTAACTCGTTTAATAAACATGTCTAGTTAGTGTTGAGGATTCCTGACACGATTATTAAATGGGCCAGGTTTGAATTTACCTATTTAATTGAATACTCTTCTATCGACACGACACGATTATGATCCCATCACATGAATTGCGACCCCTCACACCTCCCCAAACCTTTCTTGTCAATATTTTTTTTTATCCACGTTGGGGTAGGGGTAAGTTGGGGACACTCCAATATACATATATTTTTAAGAAAAATAACCCAATCTTGAATAAATTTAAGATAAATTTTATAAAAAAATTTGTAGTATAATCAAATATTTAATAATTACTGTAACAAAAATATTGTTAAAATTTTCACAGATAGATAGAAGAGAAATTATAACTAATAAGATATTATTTATTTATATATTAATTATTAATCGGGGCAAGTTTGAGGCTTTGCCAATTTCAAACTCTATTTCCAAACTTGCATATAACCTGATTAGGTTGATTCCAAATTCATCTCAATAGGAGCATCTCTTAGCCTAGTCCCTCCAGCTTCTTCTTTTATCTTCTATATACATTTTGATTTACCAAAAAAAAGTATAAAATACCAGCCTGTTGAATCTACTGCACTTCTTTATGAAAGATAACTAATGGTCAAAAAGATAATCTGAGGGGAAAAAATGAAAATTCTTATTACATAAAGTTTTAACCAAACAATACACATAAGATGCTGAGATTTATAATTTTTGAAAATAAATTTCTTGAAATTTATAATTTCAGTCATACATGCGTGTGGATATTTATAATTTTAAGATAAGATGAGCATTATTTTTTATTTTTGTCATGGGGATTAACTCCCACAATACAGGCCTTGGTGATATAAAAATGTTTATGAAGAAGCAACCTACTGAACCAGGGACGGAGCTGGCCAGCCTGGCCCTAAACGTTTTAAAATTATTTTTAGGCATGCAATTTAGTATAATATTACAAAATACCCACCCTAAAATCCCCCTTTTTGAATATTTTTATGTATCACATGTCGCAACTAGTTAGGGATGTCAATTTAACCCGTCCCGCTCCTATTAGAAAGGGTTTGGGATCATCCTCATCATATTAGAGGTGGGTTTGTGAAGAGAGTTTAACACCCTCAAAATAACCGGTCTCAATTAATAATTAATACATAAATAAATATTCTTTTATTAGGTATAATTTTATTATTATTACTTTTTTCACGTGAAGAATGTTAGGGGTTAGTGGTTAGAGGGGAGGGAGAAGGGTAAGGTACGCGAAAAGGTTCGAATACAGGCTTTAGGATATGGGGAGTAACCCAATCACTTAGATAACACAACACTTGCCCTTTATTATTATTATTTTTATAATTTTAAAATTTAACAATATTATTGTTATTATGATTATTAAATATTTGACTATACTACCAAAATAATAATAATAAATTACAAAATTTATGTTAGACTTGTGCAATTTTTAATTATTTTTCTTAAAAAGCATGTATTTTGGGGCATCCCGACTTGCCCTCCCTCTAATGCGGGACACCAAGAATTGGGTTTGAGAAAAAAATTCATTCAAGGGACGGAATTGGGATAAGAGTGCCCCGCCCCATTGACATGTAACTAAGAGCTTGTTCATTGGTCTAGCGAAAACCCATTTCCGTGAACCCAAATTCCAAATTCCAGGAGCCAAGGGTGCTCCAATCCAATCACAGAAAGTCGGCCCCATTTTTTGTCTCATAATCGATATTGTGTTGTTTAATTTCTTTTTAATTTTTAAAAATTTATAATGGATATTATATTATTTAATTTATTTTAATCCATAATAGATATTGTATTGTTTAATATAGCTGTTAAGAAAAATAAATAAAATATTTTTAAAATAAAATAATTGTTATTTTTGAAGAGCAAAAGCATACCATTATGACATATTTACTAACCAAAATTTAAAGAGTCC